ACTTTTTGTTACTATTATTAATATGATTCCGGTCTGAGAAGATATCTAATCACGTGGAACTCTTTGGATAACCAACACTCCAATTACATTGATTATATCTTAATCAATCGCCTTTGAAATAGTTCCGTACTATTTGTTCCTATCGGGGCGTCGAAACTGATAAACTGGCCTTCACGAATCAGATATTATTATTCGAGTCAAGATTCGTATGAAATTGGCAACTCGCAAAAAATAATGTCTTCCAAGATCTTTCAGTCTATGTGTTCCAACTTTATGCACTATATTAAACTAAAAAGATTCGGTAAGTGCATTTTATTGAAGCAGCTCAGTGAAATGAATATCAATGACATCTCTGGAAAGGTGGATAAACACTGGTCCCAACTAAAGGCATATCTCCAACAGCCGCTTCCAGACTAGGATTCACTAGTAGTCTACTTGGGTATCGAAAAGATTCATCCAACTGTCCTAATTATCCGAAAAGATAAACAGGAATGTTAGGAAATCCTATCGGATGCTTCAATGACTGCGGTACGGTAAAACTAAAATCGCTAATGGAGCGATATGGCTTTGAAAATGAAAACATAATAGGAAAATAATCTTTCTTCTTTACAAAGTAATTCGGAGAACGGTTAATGAAATGATAAGTGATAGCAATGATTTACCTGTTAAGGATCGCCTCATAAGGAGGAAGGAATTTTTTAAGGCCCAATTTAACACGATGTTATCTGCTGTCCCGAACATAGTTGACAAAGTTGACATACTTGCATGAGTTATACTTTTGCACTTTCGAACCGCCGAGAGAAGAGGAAATCATCGCCGTTTTCCATAAGTTTAAGCCAATAAAGCCAAAAAATTCCCGGCAAAGATTGCTGCCCGGCTGAACTCTTCAAATGCTATCCTTCATAACACATCAGTAGATGTACTCTCTATGGCGAAAAGAAATAACACCAGATAATTGAAGCCATTGTGCTTCCAATTCCTACAGAAGGTGATAGAACATACTGGAACAAATACCAAGGAATCAGCCTACTAGAAATCTTCTGAAAAATTTTCGCTTCTCTTCTGCTAAATAAATAAGCGGCATGAGATAACAGAATACGTCCTAATTGAGCTGGATTCAGACCGGGATGCTGACCAAATATTCATGCTAAGAACATCAGTGCTGGAGCATCGTTTTAAATATCAGCCATTCATATTTCCTTCGTCGATTTTGCAGCTGCTTTCGATTCAAATGATAGAGCAGCACTGCAGAGAGATGGATTATGAAGAATTATGGATTATGTTCCAGAGAAGGTTATTCGATTTATAAAGGCATTTTATTAGCATACATTGGCACAGATCTGTCTGTATATATGGTGAACTGACTGATCCTTTCGAACTAAGAACTAGTGTTCGCCAATGCCGCATCCTTTCTTCTATGTATTCAATTTTAAAATAGACTAGATAATGGACCTCGCTTATCGCCACTCAAAAAGTATGCAAATCAGTCCAAGGCATCATATCACAAATCTTGAAAACGCTAATGATTTAGCCCTTTTGGCTGACAGTTATATGTAACGAAATATAAATAATTCTTAACAATGCAGCGAGAATTAGCGTAAATAAAACGAAAGCCTTTTCACCTTATATACAAGAAGCTGATAAAATATCTACTTTTAATAATTCATTAGCCGGTTGAGGAAGTACCAGACTTTAAATATCTTTCACTCTTCATCCAGTCTAATTTCAAACGGCCCAGCGAAAGACGAAATTATAACGTAAATAAAAATCCTTATGGAGTCGTCGCAAAATCACCATAAAAACGAAAAGTCCATGTTATAGAGCTACTCACTCTCTTGTTATATGGTTGCGAGATAAAGCCGATTGGAATGGAATGGATATTAAGAAGTTATTCCTTCTATTTACCTTATTTTAAAAGGATATTCTTGTCTAAGATATATTTTACAGGTTCACAGATAAAACCTCATATTATTATGCATCAAGTACCACTTGCACTAATAGTATCATAGCGGAGCATCGCCTTCGTTGGTTCCTCGTCGCCTACCACAGGCCCTGATACATATTTCGTTACTTGCTAAACCCTGTGATGAATGGCATTAAAAGCTAAGAGGGCCAATCAAAACCTGGATTGATTGTCAGGAAAGATTTTGAACAGATAAGTGGACCAGCGATATTTGGATTTAGACGATGGAAAAAGGAATGGCTTCTATTATTACTAGCGAACCAGCTTAGAGAGGGTCCTTATAGCCAGCGAAGCCAGTGTAATTGTGAGAGCTGTTAGAAAAGAAGGAAGAGAATCATGCTACTCTTTGCAATTTTATAATTTATGATTACAGTTGTTGCAAAGCAGGTTTGATGATCGGCGCGCCAAAAGAGGGCCGGCTAGTGCAAAAGAACTTTTGGTTTGGATCGATAAAGAGATTTAAAAAGATATTACAGATAGTTGCAGTAGATCAGGAAAGCAGAAGGCAAGGACATCTCTTACTGGAGTGTATTAAAGTACATTGAAGAAGGAAGGAAATTATCACAAATATGGAGATCCCTTATTTTATGGCTTTCCTCTTTTTTTTTATTATTTTCCATGCATATAACTATATATTAATAGAGCAAATTGTACTCAAGCATTCATTTACAAAGTGATGACTCTGAAATGATTCTTTTCATTTATCCAATCAGCGGCAGGATAGCCTAGTGGCAACTTTGAGTATCAAAGTATCGGCACTTCTTCCGATAAGTATAACTTATCATTTAACTTATCATACGACTTCTTTCTAAACGTATAAACTATCAGCAGCCAATGGAGCGAGCTTAACAGAAATATTGAGCTCTATCAGTCGTTTATTTATCCAATAAATATAGCAAAAAAATTTTTTTCATTTTTAAGCAATTTTTGCAATTATTATTACACTTCTTATATTACAGAATACATTGTCGATGTTATTAACTGTGAAAATGTATTCGATGAAAAATTGCAAGCAATCGAAAATATCAAATTAAATTCGGAAGAATTCCAAAAAGTCGAGCAAATTCACCAAAAATGGTATATGGAAGCACTGAAAGCTTTGCTAGGAGCGTTCGGAAAACAATTATATTCCAACATGTCGAAGTAGATTTCAAAATCTTTTCTTCAAACCTATTATTTATTTTATAGAATTTTAAAGATTAATATTATTATAGCAGTTTCAAACATTTACTGCTTTTAGTTTCTTGAATATCTTGAATTGAAGATTTGAAAGAAGAATTTTCGTAAATTGTTTGGAAAAAGCTGAAAGCAACAGCAATCTTAAGTTTGCAGCACGCTGTTTGGTAGCTGCAGTTGATAAGCGGCTTGTAGGTAAAAATTTTCGCTATTTCAAATAATTTCTGTAAAACTTCAATAGACTTGCATGCGTGTCTAATGATGGTTGCTATTTTTAATATACCATTCGCAATTGAAACTATTCGTTTTATTCGTTTTATTCTTTATTCGTTATTATAAACGAAGAGATTTAGCAGAAAATATTAAAATTATGCATTCACAAAATTATACAGAAATCGTAAAAATAATTTCTTGAAATTCTTTAGGGAAAAGCTTGTCAAATAAACCGAATTCTGGTGAGCTCGTCAAGGCTAAAAACCTGAAGCATAAATATTATACGACTTTTAGAGAAACAAAAAATTTAAATAAGTTTTGGAGCTTTCGAAAAAATCATCCGAAATATTTAAAATTCGAGGAAAAAACAACTGGTTTGAAAAATGTTAAAATAAAACTGAAAAAGTTATTCTTTAAAAATTCTTTGCCAAAAATTCATCGTCACTTCAAATCTGATATAATATTAGAATTATTTATCAAACAATGATGCAATAAAAACGAAATTTTTGATTCATTTATTTTCACTTTTTTTCAGTCAATATTTTAAAACTTTTAAATAATCTTTTTATGAAAAAATGGATAAAAATTCATATTGATATAATAAGCGAATTGCAGATCTAAATTTAAACTTAAATTTCGGGAATCGAATTTTCCTTCAAAAGTAATTCGTATGCGACGAACAAAAAGGCAAATTCATTGGAACAAAATATTAAAAAATTTTGTTAAAAATTTTGAAGAAACGAAATCGGAATCGCTTCACAAGGTAGATGTATATTTGATATATATTTAAATAATACAGACAAACGATGCATGAATGACGCATTGCTTTGGATCATGCTAAACAACATGGGATCAACTTTTATTCTTTCGAGCAAAATTATCATTATGAGTGAAATGTAGTAGGCTGCTTGAGATTCGCTGAGATGTATTTTATTTGAAAATTATCCAGCTCGGCCTAAGCGATCAGCGTAGCATTAATAAGCAAACATAAGAAAGAAATAAAAAGAATTAGCACAGGTAGATCTCTTAACTAGAGAAAACTAAAACGAAAAAACAATTTTAGAATTCAACAAGGTTTCAATCGAAAATTAAAACAATGAGAAATTCACCGCCTCTGATTGATCGAAAAAGCTTAAAATATAAATCATTTATACGAATAGCGTCAAAAATAGCGATGAATTTTTTAAAAATAAATAGTGGCAAAAGGAAAAGTATACAATCATGGAAGGAAAGTTATATGAAAATAAATAAGGTGCGTAAAAATTCATATCTCAAATTGAAAACCAACATTTTTTATTAATGTTCAGATGCAGACGCACTGGAATGTTGAGGGACGATGTACTGCTTTAACTAGACCAAACTGCATTGCTTCAATTCTCCTCTCTTATGGTGAATAAGCCTATTTAAAAACAAATCCGAGTTTTGCTGGAGATCCATCTGAAATTCTCAAGCTCTCAAATGAGTAAAAGGATCTCATATTAGGCTAGTCAGCCAAAAATGATGCTGCTAGAAGACTGTTTCTTGGCATTATTTCCTGGTTTCTTCCCAAAATTCAATATATTCATTATTTTAGCTAATTATTTTTTATTTATTTTAGCTAACTAAAATTTTGAATGAAATTCAAGAAAAGAGGAAATATCAACGCCGAATGCTTGATATAGTTTTGGGCGAAGAAAATAAATCACCTAAGAAAAAGGAAGTGCTAGATCAAATTCAAGATTACTTTCCGGAAAGTTTGCCACTTGAATTTTGTTTCTTAGCATTTTCGCGAATTTATAAATTTTACTTTGGTTAATATGGGTTCTTTCTTTACACATTACATTCAGATTCATTTTCCATCGGCCAGCAACTTTAGATTCATTATTATTATTATTTAGGTATTATTTATTGAATTCTTACAATCTAAAATAAAAATAATTGGAATTCTTCATTCCATTTATTAATATACAAAGTAAATTTAATCACAATTCCAGAATTCAAGACCATGTCAAAAATTTATTTTTGCTTGACTAACCAGCTCAGATAAAGGATTAAATGAAAAAAGCATATTTGCCCTTTAACCTTGTAACAAGAATTAAATATTGATTATTTAGAGCAACCACTATTAAATAGTAATTTTGATTTTAATTTTTCAATTGAAATTTCCAGAGATTGTCCCATTAGTGAAACAACTTCACGATGTCATTCGCTTACTTCCAGTATACAATAGTTTAAGCAATAAATTCAAATTTCTGTCACCAAGAATAGCACCGATTTTCCGAGAAAGAAGCAATATGTCACTGTAAATATATTTCTGATTTCTTTTATACAGAAGTTTTCTTAATATTCAAAAAATTGTTGGAATTTTAATTTATATCTTTGAACAATAATTTTCAGCGAGACTTTATCACCCAATTTATTTCCATTATATCCTGATTCATCACAAGACAGTATTTTATCGATACCAGAAATCCTTAATGCGTCCGGGCTGAACTCGGTCGATAAGGATTCAATCATGGAATTAATTATTGAGGCAAGCGGTTAGCAAACATTTCCTTTATTGGAATATTTTTTTGCGGAACTGCCTACACCTTTTGCACCGAGTAAATCTCTGGTCTTATCTTTATAGTTAATAGAACCAGGCAAACAAGAGATGGGTGCAGGCAAGAATTTACGACCGCTAATAAGGAATAAAAGAAACTTTTTAACAATAGTTCCGCTGGTTAACATCAAATTATCAGCCTCTAAAACAGATTTAAATTAAATTTTGAAATGATAAATGAATGATCAAACTTAGCTTATATATGCCACTGGTTAAGGAACTCGTGTTATAATTGACAATATTATGGCTAAATTAGAAAAAATTTCTTATTGGCATATTGACAATGATATTTCCATCGTAACTGATAAAATTAACAATGCTTTCAAAGCAGTCGCGAGAACATTTTCAAAACGGCAAAAGCGCGAAATTGATCATGGAAAATATACATTTATGACTAAGCGACAAATTTTGATGGTTTTTGGTCCAAATGGTGAGTGGTGTCCCTTAATTTTATCGTTTTCAATTATATTTATGAGCCACTTCAAATCTTTTTATATTTTTATTAATTCGATTTTACTATTTTTTTCCTGCCAGTCCATAACTGATAACTGATAATAACATGCTTATCAACCGCACATTCATTATTATTCCAGTATTATTCTATACTATAACAGTTGCAGATTTTTTATTTATAGTTCTATTTTCCTCACCAATATTGTTTATTTATTTTATACCAAATGCAATAAAATATTTGCAAAAAAATTTTTAAATATTCGTGAACAAATCGAACCTCATATTTATTCAATAATTCTATTAATTCTAACAATTCTAAATAAAAGCAAATTTAAGATCCAGGATAAATATTATTAATTTGAATTTCCATTGTAATCGCGCATTCTTGAATAAATTTTATTTTTCTAAAAAATCTCAATTTTATTGATTTATGGTAGATTTAGGAGTAGATTTCGCGCTGTCGTGCATAGGTCCGATTCCTCTCCTTTAATAAACCCGGATTTAAAGCGAAATTTGAATAGCTGCGTACTTCCATCCTCAAGTAGAAAAGGTGATAGAAATGGATTCTATTTTTCAGGTACTACTGCTAATAAAGAAATTTACAACTGGATGAAACCAGTTAAACTTGAAATCGTTGACGAAAGATCTCACACTAATAACCATGGGAAACATCGTTAAACTTAATGTTAAAACGAGTTCTATATGTGAGTTTGTATGACTTTTCAGCTATCTATAACGCTTCGAATTTGCCCTTTGACCTCAATGACTACGAAAATTGGACTGATAAAGAAAAACAAGAGGCATTTATTAATAAAATACGAATCATAGCTGATGAAAAAACAGCGAAGATTGGAAAAAAACGTTCAAAACGCTTCGTTTCACTTGCTCCATTCGCTTTTTCACCGAGTATAGTACAAGTATATCCACTTTCTTTCTTTTTCTTGACACTTTTTATTTTCAGCATTTTATTAAGCTACTTTCCTTGCTAATCTATTCAACTTCTAGCAATATCAATCCATTCTGAGTTTTCGCATTGTTATGACGAAACCTTTAGAGATCGCTTTACCAGCGATCAGTGTCAATGAAAATAGTCCCAAGCGAGATTTAACTTTTAATGGGGAGAACCCATCAAAGAGGCGAAAAGTGAACATATAAATAGTAAATAGTACTTGACTTTATTCGAAGCAACGTGCAGCTTGGCCGTCATTTCATAATTTTCAATCAGTTTTTTCTTCTAACAATAGTAAAAAGATCGCAAATTTAATAAAACCAAATTCTTTTCATAACATTAAAGTTAGCAAACGCTACTGCCATTCTTTTAACCCTTATTTAGCCCTTTTCAGTTTTCCATTTTAACTCCAATTGTTATTTCACCATCTCTCTTTTCGCCAAGTATATTAGCACCGAGTCTTCTCAGTCCGCCAATTTTATCACCTCAGGTTATTGTTACATCATTAAAACGATTTACTTCAACAAGCACATGAAGGATAATTCTCTTGAAAGACATAATTCTTTAAATTTTTCATTTTTTTTTTGGTCATTTGGTATTATTTAGATTGGAAATCCGCTAATATTCTCACCATATTTGCTGGGACCAAATATTCTTTCTCCTGCTATCTTCAACGCATATGTATTTTCACCCTACGTTTTAGCGCCGAACGTTGTAAATCCATATGTTTTGTCACCACTGATATTAAGCCCATATGTGCTCAGCCCTGATATATTATCGCCTACGGTTCTCTCAGGATCAATTTTAAGTCCGAATGTTTTATCACCAAGTATTAATAGTACTGGTATTTTGGCTGCTAATGTTTTGTCTCCCACTTTTCTTTCGTAGCCAAATAAAATGACTAATCGAATTTGCAGGGAATAATTATATCTTACTGAATGCTTTAATTTCCAGAAAAAGATAAAAGGAAAGAAAGTTTTTGAAAATTCAATAATTTCACGAAGAAAACATCGGTATTTTGACACCTCTTATTTATACTTGTCCATATGCTGAAATTTCGTTACTCCTTTTGACTGCTTCTAATAAAAGACGACGATCTTTTTGTTGTTCTTTGTTTTGCTTACCTTAATATTTACTTGTTCTACGTGTTATTTATTTAGTTACTGTAATCTAGCAAAAGTGAATGAGTGGTTAGCATTCCCGAATTCTAAATGGGCTTCCTCCACTGCCTCTCACTACGGTTAGAAATTTTTCCTGCTTGCAAAATCTCGGCTGGCTGACGATATTCTCTTAATGACTATTTGTTCTATGAAACCTTTTTTCCTCAATTCAATCAAACCTTTCGTTAAAACCTATTATAAATATAAGAGTTAAAAAATCGGTAACATTGCAGTTTCCGTAATTTTTAAGTGAATAAGAACTCGTTTTCTATAATTTTTTTCGTGAAATGTAAGTAAGTGGTTACGTGGTTACGCTCACAGTAATAATTCACAGTTTTTAATGACCCAACCCAACAACTAATCACCTTTTGAATTAGCAAAAATTATAGAATATTTTGTGGCAAATAAAGCTTTGAAATTTTTTTGTTTCTTGTGCAACGAGATTAATATAAATTCTAACCTCCAATCGTAAAATTAAGTGGAAATAATTCATTAAAATTTCCATCAAAGATTTTCAGCATCGCCGACAATATTGAATATATTTACAATAGAATAAAATTATTATTAAATCACTAACAATATTCGAACAAATAAAATGCATCAAAATAAAATCAGCAATTTTTTGATTTACTAGTAAACAAAACTACAAAGAATCAAAAGAAGTCGATTTTACAACCTCAATCAAATTCTTACGTTTTGACCCTGAATTAGACCTGTTTTCAACAATTTTTCTTCGGAAACCGACTGGCACTTCTTCTTCAATCTCAACATCATTTGAATTCATTTCATTCTTAACTGCTTTACTTGCGAACAATGATAAACTGACCACAATATGCCGGTTCTCTGCTACGTCCAAATCCTAGAAAGATTACTGCAGTTCATATAAAAAATTTTTTTTTTAAAAGTCCCCACCATTACTGGTTAGACTCGCTCCGCTGGTTTTTCCACACTAGGCAAATATTCCAAGGAGCCCCTTAGCGATAGAAATACAAGTGAGTCGCCAACATCACCTGGATTTTTAGACAGGCTTATTTCTGTGAGGAGTAGAACTTCAACACCGGCGCTCGGAATTGAGCATCAACCCACTGAGCCATCTTACTCATCTTACTCCTCTAATTCGTTTACTTTTTACTAAACTTGGCAAAATATTAACATCAGCAAATTGAATATAAATCGGACCTCGTTTTCGACATCCATGGATGATTCGCTGTCAGAATGATTCTTAGAATCATTTGAACTCCGATCTGTTTCTATTGCTGAGATATCACATAAACTTCCAGATTCCTTCATCATCTTATTTGCATTAGCAAATTTCGGTAGAATTTCACGGATTCTGTTAACGAGATTGTCATATCTTAGACGCTCTTTTTCATCATGCAATTTGTAAATTCGTTTGCGGTTTCTGTCCATATGGATTCGCTTAAGCTAAAAATTGAAATCTAATACTTTTTTTTTCAAAGTTGAAAATAGGTTAATTCCCACGATTTAACAATGAAGACGAGAAGAATACTTATGTGTTGCTCGTACGGTCGAGCGTTGGATTCTTGTACTGACTATATCCCATCATTAAAAAGGATGGTTCTAAATGTCAATTTTTACTACAAAAAAAACTCACTGATCCCCATCTCTACAGAAACCATCTTCAATCGAACCATCTTCAAATCTCTACAGAAACCATCTTCAATTCTTAGAAGATTTAACGTTAGCTTTGGTTTTTCTTGCCTTTGAAACTTGAAAAAACTCGGTTTCTCACCGTGCCAGGTAGCTCAGTGGATTACTGCTCTAAATCCGCGCCGATACTGGGTTCCTATTGCCAGCAAGAATGAACCTATCTCTTAAAAACTCTGGTGATGATTACGACTCACCTGTACTTCTATTGCATGTGACCTTCGAAATATTTAAATATTCATAGAACTAGAGAATCGATAAAAATTTGATTCTTTAAAAATGGACACAAAAGCGATTTATTACAAAAAATAAAACATGAATAAAAATTATTTATATTTATATATTATATTTATATTATATATTAACGAATAGCAGAAAAGAATGCTGGAAAAAAAAAGAAATGTAAGTTCTTTTTTTCCATGAAAATCGAAGATTTTAAATAAAACCAGAAATTGCAAAATAGTAAAATGCCATAGCAAAAACAAATATGCAAAAAAATATCTTTAACTTCAGCATCAATCGAATCTGACTGTAAGTGGTTCATTAACATTATAACTAGTCACAGTAAATGAAAGATCAATCGGTGCCTTTACCCACCTAATTCGCAAATGATTTCAACCTTGGTGAAAAAAAAATTATTTTTGAAAAAATTCTGCTTCACGCATGTAACGTTCATTTAGATAAGGTATCTGTAAAAAAATTTGTAAAATTTCCGTGAAAAAAATAAATTTAGATAATAATACAAAATAACAAACTTCCATTTTTACTATATTTTTTCACAGTTCCTTCTTGCTTCGATGTAGAGTTAAAACAAATGGACTAGGTACACGTTAAAAAAAATAAAAATGAGATATAAAATTTTAATTTTTCAAAAAAACCTCAGTATAGTGATTTAAAAGTTCGTTTTTGATATCATTATCCCATTCGAAACACAGTATGGAAGTAGGCACCAACTTAAGCTCATTCAGCGATTTTGAATCATCTGTTATTATGCGACCTGATAATGCATCAATAATAACAAAGATGGGCAATTCCACACTAGCAAGATATTCTTGGATAAATCTTCGTACCGCACCAAATTGCTCTTCAGAACCAAATGTACCCTGAATAGTTCAAGAAATAATGGACTAAAAAATTCTCTAAACTGGCCCAGAAATTCTTTAAAAAGACTGAAAATTCTAAAATATTAAATATTATGAACTAAAAATTCTGCTTAGAAATCTTAAGAATTCTGAATATTAAACATATATTAAGTATAAAGCCACATGACATAATTACTTGGATCAGGTAATTATTTGGAAATCTGATCCTTAATAAGGTGTACTTGTAATGACGAGAAGCATGTTTTTCATCACGTTCTCTCATTTCACGCGTTCGAAGCGTCGTAAGCTAAAAGTAAATGAAGAGAAAATCAAGTAATATATAACTTATTTAACAACGCTTAAAGTTAAAAAAAAAAGTAGTAATATCCCGAATAAGCTTCATAGTTCGCCGACAATGACAATTCTTCATGTAATCTTAATAAAAAAATTTTTTTTCCTCATTTCTCCTCTACAGATTCAAAAAATGATCAACTTGGACATAACTCTTCAGAGTCGAATCAAATTTTGCACAGCGAAACAAAAAATTTTTGAATATACTTTCCATTAAAATCTGTTCAATACTATTGTATCAAAATTATTTTTCAGCAGAATAGTTAAAAAAAAAAATTTATAAAATATTTATAAAAATATTTCAGAAAAAAAGATTTCAAAATACACCTTTTCTACCGCTTCTTGCCTTAATTTTTGTTCAGCTTTAATTTCAGTAACAGATAAATTATAAAAATCAGGTGAAAGCTCCACATTATCTAACCGCTGGCCATCTTCTAACCTATATATCTGGAAATTTGAAATAATTGCTTTTTTATAAATAAATACAATCTTAGAAGCATATGGTAATAGTAATAATATTAGTAAAAATCTACATGAAATTGAAATGATGCTAATTTACTTTGGCTTATTCCATTTACAGTTAAATTTAATTAAATTTCAGAAAATTATAACAAACTAAGGGATTTCTATGCAATTTCAGTGGAATCATTTGGCCACTTTGCAGAATTTCGTTGGCTTGTATTAAAGCAGCAGTATCTTCAGCTTTTGTCTGTGCTATTATAAGAAAACTTTCAGGCTTGCCATCCTCGATTGCATTAACTTCTTCGAAACCACAAGCTTGAAGAAATTCAAAACCGCCTTTGGCACATAATACACGTTCCTTAATATTAATTAATCACTGCATCGCAATTTTTCATTCAAAAAAATTGTTAAAAAATTATGTTCTTTATATTACAAGGAAATTTCCTTGAATATTCTTCTTTTTCTAACAACTCTTGCCATTACTGCTTAGGCTCTGCTGGCTACGTTTCCAAGCTTCAGTTCGATGTCATCGATGACAATAGAAGCCATTTCTTTTTCCATCGTTTAAGTCCATAGATCGCTAGTTCCCTATAGGTTCAAAACCTTTCCTGACTGTATCAGTCCAGGTCTTGATTGGCCCTTCTCTCTTTTGACGCCAACCATCACATGGTTCTACAAGTATAGAAATATGCACCAATTCCTGTGGTGGATGATGAAGAACGTGCCCTAATCAACAATGGCGACGTTCTGTGATAATATTAATACAGGTGATATTTGACTCATTGGCCATTTTTCACAGCCATATAACAGCCATATAAAAATCAAGCGAATTGGAACTATATGCAGTTGCCGACACTTTGTTTAGCATTATTTGCATTTCATAACTGTCAGCCTTTGACCACTAAAAAAAAGGACTAAATCATTAACGCATGTAAGATCTTGATACTATACTCTGGACAGATCTCTTCAATGCCGACAAGCGATGCCCATTATCCAGTTTATCTTATAGTTGAATATTGGACAAATCCTTGAAGGACACCAGTTTTTATATCGAAAGGGTCAATTAGGTCCCCATATACACAGACCTATGCCAGGGTATAAACTGTTAAATATATGAAATTCGACTAAATCAAATGTAAATGAATCACAGAAATACTAAATTTAAAAAAAAGAATGCATAAAACCGCACCTGAAGCACTTTGTTACTCAATCTAATACGACGAAATTTTTCATCATGAGGATTTTCAATCAAATTTCTAAGATACTTTTGCAATATTTCCGATGCTGACTGACATTTCTTTGAATCATTAAGTGAAAAAAGCATCAAAACAGAAGCGACTATGGAATCATCATGCAACTGTTGGCGCAAAAAATCTTCAATATATTTTCGCATCTGCAATAACAATTCATCAGCACACATATCAGAATTTTGCATAATGAATAAAAAAGTATTAACTTAATATTAGCCAGAATTCTATTCTTTAATTTCTAATTAATTGCATATATAATTTGGATGCACGAATAATAAGAAATGCTTCTAGCAGCCTACTAGATTTAACTAACAGGCTCGCTTTCCCCAAGTTATAGAAATTGAATCTGTCCGTGCTGACATCGATCAACAAAAACATAGACCAAATTTCAGCAATAGAAATGATAATATTAGTAAACAATCAATCTAGAAAAAATACTTCATTTTTAGTAAGTTTTACATCCTCCTCAAGTAATTCGCATGTATAATATACATCCTGCACAAATTCTGCATTTTCACGTTCGATATTATCAATATGTAATCTTTCAATATTAGAACCAATATTCGACTGCCTATCCACATTCAATTCTTCTTCATTCAATTTTTCTTTCTCCAATTCTTTTAAAGCCTAAAATCACAAAGAATTATAAAAATATAGATGAAACAAAAAAAAAAAACTGCAGCTTAAATTGTTTCTTAAAAGAATTCTGAAAAGACCTAGTCCTAATTAAAAGATGATGACGAAAAAAAGTACTCTAGCACGTATATTACGCTGACTTGTTGTTTCTTGCTTTACTCCAAGATTCATACGTTTATAGGCAGCTTGTGCTACAATATCCGAAAGAATACGTTCAGCGGATGGAACCAAGATCTAAATGAAAGTGATTATATCCCCCTGTTTTTTTTGTTCAAAAATAGTAGTGGACTGCCGTCTATGACTGATAATAATGACATTAACTAGCAACTAATGAAATATCAAAAATTTTTCAAGAAATTTTCAAGAAAAAACAGGAACAAAAAACAGAAAAAAAAACCTTATTTGCATTGATTTTAGAATGCCCCGCTTCCAATAAGACATTTTCAGACGGGTCATCCGTAAGTTTATGCCCAATGCCTGCCTTCTTAAAATTTTTACTGATCTTCTTATCAGCCAAAAATTTCTTCAAACGATCCATTGAACAAATCAGACCTCTTGCATATAAAGAAAATAAATTATTCCTCTTCCTTTTCTTCTGAAATATAAACTAATATAAAAATTTTTTAAGCTAACCGATTTTATAAGAAAACCGATTTTATAAGAAAACGGACTTCTTAAATATTTACGGAACTGATAAATATTTTTAAGAAAAAAAATGTCTGTAAAATAAAAAACAAGAGAGAAAATTTAAAATAAAAAAAACCAAATGAACCTTCCTTCTTCTTTAATTTTCCACGCTCTTGCTCTTCAAAAAATGCAACAATTGTATGAGAATAGTGCTTCCAAGCAATGAAAGTTAGAAATAAACTTAACGATATAAATAATAATAAAATAATGCCAACGAAAATCTGAAAATAATTATCTCCATAAAGTAACAGCAGTCACACCGAAAAGCCTTTCCAAATGTTAAGTATGGCCGCAGATAAGAAGTGAGATAGGTATGTCTCCTGGCACAATAAAACGCGAACATTTTCCTAAGAGTAGCACTTCTAAAATGAATTGTGGCCATCTGACTGGGAGTGGTGGCTTTCGAATGAATCCCTTCACGAGCAAACCGCCTGGGAATAGAGGCATAGTTGGACACCACTGAGAGGAAGTTTTTGAGATGCGAAAATAAGAAAAATACACTTTTATAACGCAAAGAATGTTGTAAATATTAAAATTTTTCAAAAAAACCTGAGTCTGATCAAGTTCGTAATATTCAGCTAACACAGCAATAGTCTGAAGAATACCTTTGTTATAAAATCTCTCCTGAATCGATAAATTATCTTTGTGCCGTTCAATATTCACCGCACCAGAATCCAAATCAGCGTTCATCAAAAGCTTCGGACAACCTTCACATAAACTAAAATGCGGTCGCGGCACGAGTCTTTTTATACGAACACACCAGCATATCATCCACCTTCGTAAATATGTCAACACATATAAAGGATTCGGAGAAATGACAATGGCTTTTACTGAAAGCTGACGAATAAGAGGAAATACGAAAAAAAATAAACAACTGCGCATTACCGAGATATTTTATAAGAAGAAAGAGAATATAGCGAGGATTGAGAAGGAACCACGGAGTTTTAGAGGATGGCTTTCAAGTTTAGGCGTATGTTGAAGATAAAAGGTATAAGAAGAAGTGCCGACGCCCGAGTCCCACTCTCCCTGGAAGTAAAGCAATCTTTGCGAAATAATGCTGGCAACTCACCTGCACTCCTGTCGCTGAGTAATTCCCTGGCAAAATTGTCTGGTCGAATACGCCAATCGAGCAGGCCAACCAGAAAAAACAGGTGCTCTCGGAATAAAAAAAGAAAGAGAATTTAACATGGAGTTTAAAAAATTAACGGATCAGTCCAACACGAGAATTTTTAAGAATATAACAGAGTTCAAAGGACAGCGGATTAGGCTTTAAAAGAATGAGAATGGAAGGAACACGTTAAAGAATTACAGCCTGGGCTTAGATAATGAGAGGTTCAAACTGTGGTGAGCGAATACAAAGAAGTTTGAGAACATTCAGGAACCATAGCAGCGTGTGGGATGCCAGTGGGTAAAGAGTGGAGCTGCTGAAGAAATGTGGTGGAATTTGACGAAAAGAAAGGCGAAGTGTAAAGACACGGGATGCAAAGTGTCGATGAGCTCCATATAAGTTTTAGTTCTAACGAAGTGTAACGAGGTTTGGAAAGGTATAAAGCAAACGTATATATTTGTGAAAATAGGACACCGATTGCACCTTCGGACTGTTTTCCCAAATATATATTAGTACCATACACATTGTAAAATAATATTGTTTCAATTATATATTAATGCCGCGAATGATCAAAACATTTTAAACAAGAATCCATCGATAATTATACCAAAATGATTCGTGTCGGTGAAACTTCCAGCGGCCCACGAATTGGTGGACCGTAAAATTTTCTCATCTGAGCCGTGGAAATTCTTGAAGTTTTTTGGTGGAGACGGGTGACGGGTGACATTGGGTTTGTTGTTATCAATAAAAATGGCTGAACAGCAGGCGTTCGTTCCGGATTTTTTCTGTGCAAGCAGAAGAGGGAATGAGGTTTTCATTTACAATTTCATTTTTTACTTTTTGAGATAAATTTTTGCAAATAAATCGGCAGGAAAGTGGAAATGAAAATGGCAAATTTCTAATAATCTCCGAAAAATATGCTGTAAAATGTTCTCTTTTCGCGAAGTAGCAGTAGCTGCGCCATTGCGATGCGCAGTTCATCGCGCGAGAAGCATGTGGAGGTAGGTTTGCAGATGGAAACACTCCTTAGTGCCCGCAGCAGCCACTCGAATAATCGAGGTGATTTTAAACGATTCGAATCAGATCAGTTGCTTATTTGATTTGATCGTCTAAAAGGTTCTTTCTATGGCTTAAAATTAGAACGAAAAAAATTTTATTTCATAGTTTTCTTGTAATTTCATTTATTTTAATGTTGTAGTAGAAGTTTGAAAAAAAATTTATATTTTAAATTTTAAATTTTTAAATTATTCTAATAGAAGCAAATGTAATTTAAATAATTTTATATTTTATTTTTCATTTATTACGATTTTTCAAACTTTTTATCAATAATCATCAATTTTATCAATTTGTTACATTTTTAATAATTTTTTTCAACTTTTTAAAATATATTTCATTATTTCTCGGTTATTAGGTAATATTTTTTAAAATGTTTCGCATTTTACTCCATTTCTAAGTATTCATATTTTCCCTGTTATCATTTTTTTTTATAAAAAATTATCAATGAATATCTTCGTTTAGTTTCATATTATATATTTTATAAACAGAAATTTCGATTGCTTCAAATGTAAACGAAAGGTAGAATATATTTGTTTACAAAAAAATTGTTGAAATGGAAAATAAAATTTATACGTACAGCAAAATAGGTGGTTGTAAACATTCGTTGATATTCGTTAATTGGTGAATAATGGTATAAAAAAAGGATCCAGTCACAAAGTCTTTCTCTCAAAAATTTATTTAAAAAATTTATAAAAGTCGAGTATAAAGCTAGCTTTCTTCCTAGCTAGATTTCAACAGTGCCTCAACATTAACATTACTTAACATTTCTCTTTTTATGCCATAGATGATTTTGAACTACATTCATTGTGAATCGTTAATTTTCGCTAGAAATTGGAACTGAAACTAGATTCTTAATAAGGTGAAGTCTATCAGAAAAATTTGAATTTATAATGGTGATGTTAAGGATAGGAATGGATGATCAAGTGGCATGTTGCTTCGATTTAGGTTCGAGCCATCATATAGGGTTTTCGTCTTAATTATCAGTGGTCAGCTGGACCAACCCAAGTGGTGTAAAGTGCTGATAAGCAGTGATATCTAAGAGCTTATTCCAAGCGTAATTTTATAAACCTTATTATAATAGTATAATAATTGACGTAATAGTATGGTGATTTCATTTTAAATTATCAAGAGTAAATCGAGAGAAGTCTGATGGCTGTTGTGGATTTATGGATTTATGGCTATTATGGATTTGTCCTTCGAGTGATTCTCTGAGGATCTAATTAGTGGAAACAGCAAAAACAAAAATTATGCGTTCCTTTCAAGAAAAAATGTGAATATGTGAATGTAAATGTGAATATAGAACTATAGTAATTGCTAAAAACAATAGGTTCAGATTAGAGTTGATTTGATGGATCTGAAGAATTGATGAAATAATAATAAAGCCCTTTGTGTTGGAACATCGCTTCAAATATTTGCAACCCACCGTCACATGTTTCACTTTGCTGCTGCCTTCGATTCAGTTGATGCTTTGGAGGATATTGGAACATTCCAGAGAAGATCATTCGACTCAAAGGCATTTTATGACCATACTTCGGCAAGTCTGTATATATGGGGAACTGACAGAAAATAAGATCTGATGTGCGTAAAGGGTGTGTTCTTTCCCCTATATTATATTCAACTACGCGATAGACTCGATAATTGACACCGCTTGTCCAGCACTCAAGAAGTATACAAATCAGTCCAGAGCATCAGATCTTGAATGTGCTGATGATAATATAGTCGTTTTTGCTGACAATTTTTGACGATATATAAATAATGCTAAATTCAGCGAGAATCGGACTCAGGACCAATACGAGTCTTTTCTTCTTATGTGAAAGAAGTTAATAAAATTCATCTTTTTATAAATTCGTTGCTGGTTAAGGAAGTGCACGATTTTAAATACTTTGGATCCACTCTAATACCGAATGGCTAGGCAAAAGATGACCCGGATTACGGCAGCTAGAAATACGTTCTTCCGGTAGATCAAATCTTTATGGAGCCATGATCACCATAAAAACTAAAGTCCGTGTCTATATAGTCGCTATTCATTCGATCTTGTTATATGTCTGCTAGATATAGCCAATAAGAATGAAGAATATTAAAAAGTTATCTGCCACTTGTTTCTTAGGTACATTTTACGGTTTGCTGAATGGATAAAAATGGATTTCACATGATCGCATCTACCCTCGCTCAAAACGTTAACAGTACTATCACAAAGAGTCGCTGGTGGACACGTTCTTCGTCGCCCACCATAAGATTTAACATACATTTCGTTAAACCTTGTGATGGATGGTGTCAAGAGCAAGGTAGGCTAATAAGATCTGAATTAATACGGTTAAAAAAGATTTTGAACTTATAGATAGACCAGCAATATGTCTCAGCCGAAAAAGGAACGGCTTCTATTACTGTCGATGATGGCGTTAGACCACGCTATTTGGAAACGTGTTACCCTTGTAACCAGTGAGCCAGCGTAACCAATAATTGTGAGAGCTTATTAGACGAAGAAGAATAAAGCCCTTTGATAGATTAATGGCAGTCCAGTCTGGTGACACTTGGTCGAATAATGAATTTATTTAATCAATTTTCAATAGAACAATGGTAAATGATGAATTAGTGGTAATTAATCGAAAGTGGCAATTAATCAATTAATTAATAGTTGTTAAAAATTTATAATTGATAGAAATTTAGTTGGACCGGTACTGATCTATAGTTCCAGAGGTTCGGTTTGAAATTTATTATCCTTCTTTTAGTTTGAGATAGTTGAAAGATTTTGTTTCTTGCGAGTTATCAGTTTTCAGTTTTATGCGAATCTTGGCTCGAATTATAGCATGGTCATGGATGTTACCAGTTTCAGCACTGCGATGGGAACAACCCTCTAGTACGGAATTCATGCAATGACGACTGACTAAGATAATTAGTCTGGTATATTAGTTTTTTGGAGAGTTCCAGGTCTTAAATGTCTTCTACGATGCCATATTTTCCACCCAATTCACCACCGTGGCATCTTAATATACAGGCGTATTTCAGTCTTCCCAAATATGACCATGTCATTTTTCAATAAAGATAGTAAGTGGGATTCCGCATAGAATTTATTCTTATCACGGTCATCTGCACAGAAAGTTGGGCATATAATATACAGAGCATATATACTTAATGACTGAAATATTTCTTTTATTTGAAGATCATAGGCCATACGTTCGTTTACCGACTTCCACTCAGTCAGAGCGGACCCAGCTTTTTCAGACATAACAATCGCTACTCCATTTCGCTATGAGTTATCCAAAGTATCGAATCCAAAATACGATGATAGCCTTTGCTCGGAGCCAGAGAAATGAGGAAAACGGCAGGCAATATCCACACGAAATTTGCCTTAATTTGCCATCCATGGCACTCTTTTTCTTATTAATGCGTTGCATTTATGTGCATTTAAAAGTGTAACATGGTCGAGAAGGAATTAATAACTGGTGAATAAAACGAGCCTTAAAAGGATATTTAGGGAGATAACGGAATTTGTGGGAGTTTTATGGAGCTGTGAGATTTGTAGGATACTGAATGCTCAGAATATCAGAGGGTTGTTGCTCAGTTTGGAGTTCAGATGCCGAGGTTCGATTCCCCGCAGAAACCTGTACAAAAATCGGTTGATGCTGGAGACTCACCTGTATTTCTATCGCCAAGGGATTCCCTGGCATATTGCCCAATGCGACAAGCTAGTGGAGCGAGTTTAACCAGTAATGGTGAGGACTTTTAAACAAAGAAAGTTATTGGACAACCGATTTTGTTGGCTGCTGTTTTTAGCCATAATTTATGCAGATTGATTTAAAAAATGTAGGAAATTATAGGAAATTAAATCGTTTTGGAAACTGCGTTGTTTATACTGGTATTGCACTGTTTTCGTGAAATATATTAAAAAAATAATTGGATAATTTTGAATATTGCATTAATATTGAATAAAATATTGCTGTAGAAGGCTGGTTGTGTTTATCACTCGACTATGATAGATCATTATTCTTATCAAAGTTTCTTGTTATAATAATATTAGATTGATTCGAGTATATTCATGCAATTTTATTTAAATTCTTTTAAAAAATTTTTTTTTGATAATAAGAAAACTAATTCATTTTTTTAACAGAAACATGAAATTTTTTTTCAAGAATGGACATTATTTTTTAACAAATTTTTTATAGCAGTTTCATTTTGGTTCGTCCAACATAACATTTCAACCTCATAAAGTAAGTCGAGAAGAACGTAGTCGAATTGTTGGTTTACAGAGTGGCGGTTTTCGGGGATGTACAGTGTGGTTTACAGGTCTTTCTGGTGCTGGCAAAACTACGGTCGCATTTGCTGTTGAAAGAGCTCTCATTGAAGTAATCATAATTATAATTTGGCACAATTTTGCTGAATGGATTTATTTGATTTTTATTTTTATAAATTTTCGACTATAGTGAAATTGAACTATTTCATTGGTTTAGATTGGCGTTCCAGCTTACGCTTTGGATGGTGATAATGTTAGGCATGGATTATGTAAGAATTTATCGTTCAACGAAAAAGATCGAAGTGAGAATATACGACGCGTCGCTGAAGTAGCTAAATTATTTGCTGATATGGGTGTTGTGGCCTTAGCCTCTTTTATAAGTCCATTCAAACGTGATCGTAATGCTGCAAGAAAAATTCACACTGAGGTGCTATTATTTTTTTATTTGCAATAGAATTGATGGATTTTTTTTTTGCATTGAACTTGTTCTTTCTTTTTTTTTTCTTTTGTTCAGGATGGTATTCCATTTTTCGAAGTATATGTCAATACTCCTTTAGAAATTTGTGAATCAAGAGATCCGAAAAGTAAGTTGTATGTTAACAATGTAATTTATTGTACTAGAATTTTTTCTCACCAGTATTCAAGTAGAATCAATCAAGAATATAACAAATGCCGCAAGTAAGCAAAATTTTCCCACAAAAAAGTCCAATAATCTGGTAAAATTTGAACTTAATATACTTAATACTGGTGCCTTTAAAAAATTTGCCTTTCCTTGATATTTCAACATACATTTGCAGATTTATATAAACAAGCACGCGCTGGAAAATTGAAAGGATTCACTGGAATTGATAGTATTTATGAAGAACCTGAAGATCCTCATTTGATTCTTGAAGCTGGTGTTGAATCAGCAGATGATTGCTTGCAAAAAGTTATGGACTTCTTGTACAGCAAGGTATTATTTTGAATTATTATATCTTATTCATAATAGAACTTCAAGATTAATTTGCTTTTTTTATAACTAAAAGAGTAAATAAAGCGGGTAAATGATATTGTTAGCTGCAAATTGTTATAATCATGTGTTAAAATATTTTTTTGAGTTAAATTGTTAAATTTTATTTATTAATAAATAAATTTTGTTTTTTCTCAAGAATTTTTAATAAAAGGAATGCAGGGCATTATATCGAATGAAGCTAGGCAAAATCATAGTTTGCACGGATTACCGATACGAGAGTTATTTGTGGATGTATCAACAAAAGAAATACTAACGCTTCGTCTTAACGATATGCCAAGTGTCAATATCTCACGAATAGATTTACAGTGGTTGCAGGTTTTTCCATTTTCTTTTTTCTCGATTTTTTGAAATTTCTGTTGGTTTTTGGTCTGAAATTTGCAATTTATAGTGATAGAATCGTAATTCCTTTTAAGGTGCTAGCAGAAGGTTGGGCTTCACCTTTATACGGTTTTATGCGAGAACGGCAATATTTACAAAGTTTGCATCATGGAATACTATTAGATTTAAAACGTGAATGTACCTCTGAGGATGTTTGTAGTTTCGATGAGTTTGAAGATACATATTCTAAAGTTTTACCCATCAACCAATCTATTCCAATTGTTCTTCCCATTTCGAGTGAACAGAGAGAATTGTTGATGCAAGGTAAGAGAAAATTCGTCTTTATCTTTATTTTTAAAGTAAAAAATTTCTAATTCACTGATTTGAGAAGAGATTTGAATTAAGTTACTGATTTTAATAATAAAATGAGATTAAATGAGATTTCATCATCTTCCTCTTCTAACAGCTCTCACCATTGCTAGTTGGCTCCACTCCAAGGATAAGACGTTTCCAAGCTTCGCGATCTGATGCCATCGTCGGCAGTAATAGAAACCATTCTTATTTCCATCGTCTAAATCCATATATTGCTATTCCACCTACACGTTCAAATTTTTCCTGACCACATTAATCCAGGTCTTTATTTGCCCATTTTGCTCTTGACATCATCCATCACAGGGCTTAGTAAATAACGAAATATATGTTAACTCTTATGGTGGGCGATGAAGAACGTGTCCACCAGCGACTCTCTGTGATAGTACTGTTAATACAAATGCAAAGGTAGATGCGATCTGAAATTTTATCCATTCAACAAACCCGTAAAATGTACCTAAGATATGAGTGGTCAAAGATAACTTTTTAATATCCTTCATTCTTATTGGCCATATCTAGCAGCCATATAATAAGATCGAACAAATAGACACGGACTTTAGTTTTTATGGTGATCATGGTTCCATAAAGGTTTGGTCTACCGGAAGAACGTATTTCTCGCTGCTGTGATCTTGGTTGTAATATTATCTATTGCTTCTTGTACATAAGAAAAAAAGGCTTTCATTTTTTATTTATATTGATCCGATTCTCGCTGCAGTTGCTGTCACGTTTAGCATTATTTGCATTTTTCCATAACTGTCAGCAAAAAGGACTACATTATCAGCTTATTCAAGATCTGTGATACGATCCTCTGGACTGATTTGTAACTTCTTGAGTACCGACAAGCAGTGTCCATTATCTATCTATCGCATAGTTGAATATTGGAGAAAGGACACTTGACGGACACCAGTTCTTATTTCGAAGGATTGTGTCGATTGCCCATGTTCACCCACATAAAATGCCTTTATGAGTTGAATGATCTTCTCTGGAACACCATTGCGTTCCATCACCCTCCAAAGCGCCGCTCTATCGATTGAATCGAAGACAGTCGCTGAAACACGTGACAGTGGGTTATCAAATATCTGAAGTAGTATTTCGTTCTTAACATGAATATCTGGTCAGCACAATCGCGCTTCGTCTGAATCCAGCTCGATTAGGGCACATCTTGCTATCCCATGATGCTATAAGTCTATTAAGTTAAAAAGAAGCAAAAATTTTTGCTGTGATGTGGTAAGCTGATTCTTCGATAATTGTCGCAGTACGTCCTGTCATCTTTTTTGGAAATTGGGAATAGAATTTTTTTTGCTCCAGTCATCTGGTAATATTTCTCTCTTCCATACCAGAAAGTACTTTTGTTAAAGGTGCGTTATGAGGGGTTATGAAGGACTCTAGATAACATTTGAGGAATTCGATGGCCTTGGTTTGGACCATAATATGGTAAGATCCATGAAGATTGCCCGTTCAACGCCGCGATAGGGATGACTATCTAGCACGGAACTCTTCCAACGGCGACCGACTAAAGTATATAATCATTCTAATTGAAATGTTATTGTCAGTAGAATTCCGCGACTAGATTTTTCCTATAATACTGGAAACAAGTATTACTAATAAAAAAATTCGTGCTTGTCTGCATAACAAAGAAGGCGTTCCATATCGGCACACTGATCTTCGATGCCATATTTACCAATTGTTGAGGTCATCACAGCGGCATTATGAGGTACGCACGCATTCTAGTCTCCTCATATATACTCATCAATATTATGAATGACCATGTTATATTTCGGTAAAGACTTTGTTGAAGTTCTGTATAGAACTTATCTTTATTACTGTCATCTGCGGAAGTTGTAGTATTAATGAGTAATACTACAACTTATATATATACCCAGTATTGATGAATATATATTGATGAGTATATATACCGAGATATTGCAGAATTTACCATTAAAATAAGCCACAGACCATACGGTCGCTTATTGGTTTCCAATCAATCAAAGCAGAATGGGCCTTGTCAAATGTTTCTGCTGCGAGTTAGGATTAATTACTCGAAATCCGAAGTGAGGAAGACGGGCTTCCGACAAGCAGGCGATTGCTTGACTTGTGACGACCATAAGCATTCTGGCATTCCACGTTTATACGGCTCGCAACGCATGCAGAGAGCTCTTTGATAGGTTTCGAGCAGTGGTACTGGTTTGCGAGCATGTTTTATTTATGAACCTTGGTATCGTTTTACTCCTGGATTGTGTATTTGTCGCATGTACCACCGGACTGGGAGAATCATGCGCATTGGAGGACGCAGACGCCGTTGGAAGAGCAGCAGTCCTTTTCACCATATAGTTAAAATTACGAGTGAATCCCCAGCAGCCACTCGAATTTTTAATGTGACAGGCTTACTTTTGTCGAAGACAATATTATATTTTATGATATGATTTTATGATATTATTTATTAATAGCATAAGTTGGGAGAAAAAAATTAGGAATATAAAAAAAGTTAAATTTATTTGAATTTCATATGTATTTTTATTCAAATTCTTTGTTTTTAAATTTAGAAAAAAAAACTTGGCTCGTTATTTATAGAAATTCTAAAATGTTCCAAAAATAGCGTTAAAGTAACAGTGGAATAAAAATACAACCTCTCAATATTCGAAATTGTTTAAATTTTGAATTGCATTTATTTACTATTTATTCATTTATTTTGTAGATGGTAAAGTTGCAAATGAAATCGCTTTAGCGTATAAAGGCATCAAAATTGCTGTATTAAGTGATGGTGAAATCTATTGCCATCGGAAAGAGGAACGTATTGCTAGAACATTTGGAATTATGGATAAGCGTCATCCTGTTGTCGATCAAATAATGCAGAGCGGTGACTGGTTGCTCGGCGGTGATATTCAAGTATGTTGCTTTTTTGAAAATAGTTTTTTTACAATTTTAGAACTTTCCCGTGAAACCATTTTTTGAAGATATTTATTTATTATTGAACTGCATTGATTATTGAGTCACTTATTGTTTTAACTATAGGCATTGTTACTTGTCAAAAATAACACCAAATGTCGATATTCCACGAATAGATTTGGAATGGTTACAGGTTACCTGTACCTTATAAGCGAAATCTTGGAGACTGTTATAGACTCTGTTCTCCTGTTGCCAGACCAAATGTTCTTGTGACGAATTGATTTCATCTCAGTGAAACCAGAAAAAACAATAAAAACAGAAATCAGAACTGGTGAATACTATTAGGAATGGGAGAAAATGTTCTTTTCTCACATTAATTGTATTTGAATTCACTTACCAGTGCTATATGCTATAATCTTCTTTTTTTTATAATTCTTTTCATAAGAATTATAAAAAAAATTTTTTTGGTAGTAAATGTTTTGTGAAATATCCCAGGTTTTGGAGCGGATAAAATTTGATGATGGTTTGGACAAATACAGAATGACACCAAAGGAATTACGTAATCATTTTCAAAAATCGAAATGTGATGAAGTGTTTGTGTTTCAACTACGAAATCCTATACACAATGGCCATGCACTTTTAATGAAGGACACAAGAGAAAGATTATTGAAGAAGAATTTTCGAAATCCTATGTTGTTGCTGCATCCAATCGGTGGTTGGACAAAAGTTAAATTTATTTTCTTTTTTTGTATTATAATTTGAATTTTTTACATGTCATTTTGATTTACTAATATTTTACAATTACATTTTGATTAAAATTTAAGACTAGGAGAAAAATTTTAATTTGTGACATTCGCAATTTTCCAGGATGACGATGTTCCTTTAAAAGTTCGGATTGAACAACATAAAGTTGTTCTGGAGGAAGCTGTGCTTGACCCTTCTTGGACTGTTCTTTCAATATTTCCATCACCTATGTTATATGCAGGTCCTACTGAGGTTTTATTTTTATATGGAAAATTTTTTCATTAATATTTGGTATTAATATTACAAACCCATTTCTTTCATGACTAGTCTTTTCAAATATTTTTATTTAATTTATGTTTCCAACCTTAAAATCAAATAGACGCAGTAAAAAAGCAGCATAAAAATTTTTTTAAAGGTTTTCTTTTTACAGGTCCAGTGGCATGCTCGCGCGAGATTGGCTGCCGGAGTTACTACTTATATAGTTGGCAGAGATCCTGCAGGTCTACCACATCCTGATACTGGAGATTACCTTTATGATCCGTCCCATGGTGCAAAGGTTTTTCATTTCGTTACGAGTCTTTGACTTGGATTGTTTGTATCTAATTTAAATTGTAGATTTTGACAATGGCTCCTCACCTAATGTCTCTTAAAGTTATACCTTTCCGTGTTGCTGCTTATGATAAGGTAAACTGCAAAATGGCATTTTTTGATGAATCGCGGAAGGAGGATTTTATATTTATCAGTGGAACAAAGATGCGAAATTTCGCTCGTAAAAATATTCAGCCACCAAATGGTTTCATGTCACCTAAAGCTTGGCAAGTTAGTAATATTTTTTGTTTTGTTGTTGAAATTTTTTGACGCATTTCGACTTAATATATTATTTATGGTTCCTTGAAATTATTTTTTGCGAGTGTAGCGAAGTGGAATCTTCCTTTAATTCGGACTGTTTTTTTTTCAGATTATAGCAAATTATTATAAAGGTATGAAGAATTCAGGTGATGCATGAAAAGTGGAAGTTTGCCTATTTTTCTTTGAAATTTTTGTAACCACTGTTATTCGCTCGAGATGTCAAGAAGAATGATTGAAGATTGAAAAAAATTTTTTAAAATTATCGTTCTTCATTTGTTTGATACTTTAATTTTTCTAAGTTTGCCTTATATTAACAGTATTTTGGGGTGAATTCTGAAATTTACTTTTAGTTTTCATCGTAAATTCACATCTATCTGGTATTAATGAAATGAATATTATTTTTTTTTGTTAGCTCATTTCTTTCATAATTTTTTTGCTCATTACCAAAATGCTTTCCAGCTTATTTTTTCTCATTTAGTTTAAAATAGGTTGTTTTTTCATCGTGCAAAAAATTTTTTCATATCGACCAATATTTTTGCAAGTTTATTTGATCATTTCATGTGAGGCGCCTCATTTTCGTGGCTTAATATTTCCTGAACGCATTTTGATTCGATTTATTGGGTGTCTTACTGCATTCGGCGAAAAACAGAATATCGCAATAAAATTTTTTTCCCCTTTTTTCATTTTTTTTTTATTCTAGATGCATATCATTAAATTTAATGCGGCTATATTCATTTCTTTTTTCTTAAGTAAAGTCATGCCATAAATTTTATAATTCATTGTTATGATATCAGTGAATTAAGTTTAGTCCGATTTTTCTTTTTAAATAAACTTTTTGAACAAAAGGCATGAAAAAACCTCAACCTAATAGTCACCATAAGCAAGCAGCCAAATCAAAAGTGCTGCCAGAAGCATTAATGTAAAATAAAGGGTAACTTCCAATAAATGACAAAAGGGCTGTTGCAAAACTAATTCTGTGACCAGGAAGATGTGCAAGAGGCATTACAGAGCATTACAGAGCTACACAAGATGATCCATTGGCTCGGAAGATATTTCGATTTAAATGATTTGAATATATCAAATGGTGGTGAAGGTCTATATTTTATTGAATAAATTTATTGGCACGAGAGACGGATATTACCGAATTAATAAGAAAGAACAAGGATAGGCAGCCTTTTCAGCTTTCATTAGAAAATAATTTCACAGGGTGAAAAAATTCATTAGATGAAACAAAATAAGAAGTTGGAAGAAATTACTTTTTAAGTTTATGAATAATGAGATAAATAATACAGATGGTTGGTCTTTCACACTGCGGGCTTTCAATCCCAAAGATACTGGCGCACTCAAATGAATTAATTTTCTTTCCTTTATGACCATCTGTATTCACATCAATTCACAAGAAAAATACAATATAATAAATTTTATATATATCTATATATTTATATATATATAAATATATATGCATAGATATAGAGATGTGAATCGCCAGCGTCATTCGAATTCTCCAACATATTTATCCCTACGAGGAATAGAGCCTCATCAGTATATATATATATATATGAGGAATAGAACCTCATCAGTATATATATATATACATACATGAGTGAAAAAAAAACTGATGGAATTTTTGAAAATATTTTTTGTTGCCTTTTTTCGAAACTTATTGAAAAGTTTTCGAATGATAATTGGCGAAAAATAATTTTAATTAAAATTCGAGAAATTTGAGTTGAAATGGGAAATCGAGCATTCAATACAACCAAATAAATAAAATTTCTGAGACAAAATGTTCAAATGAAATCTCTCTCAATTAAATCTTTTATACTATGGAAACAAACAAGAGAGAATCTTTCAAATGAGTCGCATTTCCAATAAATAAAAATATTTATAAAATAAAGGCAAAGACAAGTAAAAAATGGCAAAAAAACCGTAATTAGTTATATTCATTTAATTTATTAAAATATTCATTATCATTTGAATGAAATGATGAAAAATGATGAAAATAAAAAAATTTGAATGAAACGATGAAAAATGAAAAATGATGAAAAAATCCGACGTATGAAACGTGAAGAAGCGAACCACACATTTAACCAGGATTATTGTTTATTTGAGTATAATTTGCTCCAAGTTTCTCACAAAATTCCATTGTGGTACTTTACTTAGAATTATTTCACCAAGTAAAACTAATAGTGATGAAATGTGTACTTAACTTAGAAACAACAAACAAAAATGAAAAATGAAAAATCACTAGTATAATTTCATAAACTTCTTTTTGGATGGATCTATTTAATCAAAGAATTGAAAATTAGTCGAAAGATATCAAAAATCAAAAATGAGAAACAATACTAGAGAAATCAATCATAGCGATGTTTGATGGCATTTTTGTTGATGATGCTCTCTTCTATTAATATCCAGGAAGAAATTTACTTCACTTCTGATGATATCCATAAAATATACAAAAGAGTAAATAAGATATACAATGAAAGAATTGATAAGTGAATAAAACTATAGCTTTGAGTCTACCCTTGTCGAGAGAATTTTTTGCTTCGCAATGGAGGCTCAAAGCCTAGGAAAGTAAATACAGTAGTAAATTGTTTAATAATAATAATAATAATAATAATAATAATAATAATAATAATAATAATGTGTGATGATAAAATATAATAACAAAAATAAAAAGCTTAAAAATAAATTTCTTGCATAATTTATGCACTAAATGAATTAATAATTATAAATTGTCTGTTGAGGTAAAATTAACGAGTAAAAAATGCATATAAAAAATATTTTGAGTGAAAACGGTGAATAGAGAAATAATGAAGAGAATTTTAGCATTTTGAAATAAAAGAGGCAATAAAAAAATGAGGGCAGTTTAAAAGAAAAAATGGATGACGAGGGTGAAAGCAAATATGCCTCTTATTTTTTAATAGTTTCATAGCTAAACATCATGCATTTTGCCTTCCTTATTGTCGCAATATTTGTTCCAAAGTGTTTTAGCAAGTTCATAACACGGTAATTCACCAGCATGCGTAGCAACCATTCGCAAGAGAAAAACACCATCTTGCCTCAGAAAATGAAAGACAAATCTTCGCAGTGATTGGCTATCAACCATTTTGTAACCTTCGATTCCAGTGAGATATTTACCAACGAAATTCAGCTGTCTGGAGACAATTTATAAATGCTATACTATTCTTCGGCAACAACATGGCATGGCAATCATTTTATTAAGGCATCATCGTTAAAAGTTGTTTGGTGACTTTTTGATTAGATAAAATTAAAATTTAATTTTTACCTGCTTGGGACAATCGAAATATATATCCAATAAAAAAGTGAACAAATAGTTGCTCCGGCAAGTAAAAAATACCAAAACCAAAGAAATAAAAAAATTTTTTCATTAAACATATTAATCATTAAAACACATTGCACCGTATGTCTATGCACATTTCCGAGGACCTAAAAACGAAACATTTCTTTTTAATTTTTATTGTAAAACTTTTACAAATTTCGGTTTTTTTGATAAAATATAAATTGCAAAACAATGGTTTTTTTCTAGCGATAGCTGCAGCTAAACAGGATAGCCGAATAGTCGGTAGACTTAAATTATTATTAATTATTGAGCAACAAGGATTCATCTTCTTCCTCAGACATGGAAAATTTGCCGTTAAAAATTTGGATAGCGATCCATTTGTATTTCTATTGCCAACTGACTATTTGAAAAAAATTTCTAATCATAATAACAGCGAGCGGAGTCAGGATAAACAGAAACTATCAAAACCAAGTGCTTACCAATTATTTATATTTATTTTAAATTGAATACCTTCACTTCAAAGTCGCAAAGAGTTACACGAGGAAAATGCCCTGATTCTTCCCATTCTCGACCGTTCATAAGATCATTTAACACCTTAAATTTAATCCAATTGGTATAATTGAAAACACAAAAGCAAATAAACATAAAAGTTCTTTCTTCAAATTTAAGTTACAAATTTTAAAATTTTATGAAGAAAATGCCTTGTTTCCTCTCATTTAATTTGATTAAAATATTCAAAAAACGTTGGTCAAAAATTTGGAAATTCTTCCGAAATTTCAAAAGTTAAATTGATTGATGTGAATTTGTTATTCGTAAATTATCCAAAACTTCAGATTAGCAAATAAGAAAATTTGATTGATATTTCAGTTTAACATTTCTATTTGTTCGCGTATATTTCTCAAAATTTTTCAGTTGATTCATAAATGAAAACAACAAACTATTTTAAAAGTGAAGCAATAAAAAGAAATGCAACTTTACGAATAATTGACTCGTTTGAGTTCACAAGTGAAATTTAAAAAATTATAAAAAGTGCTTCACCTGCAAACCATACCATTTACTACGATTACCGAGAAAAGTGTTGAGCAAAAAAATTTGTCCCACAATATTCACAGTATAAAGAATTTTGACAGAAATATACAGAAAAGTGACGGCAGCGCCACTGCTTCGAGTGCATATTATTAAATTCAGTAGTTTTAGACGATTACCGCTCATCTGCAACGAATTTTTTCTTCGGCAAATGCTAGTGTTTGCAACAACATTTTAAAATGCAGCCATTATCTTTGCATCATTTAAAAAGAACTATCTTTATTCCCAAGTTTCTCTCTGGTAGAATAGTCAGCAAAATAGTCTCATCCTAATAGGAAAGGGATCCAGGTAAACTAGAAATGAAATGGAAGACGATTATTCTGCCATAACAGCGCAAACTTTTGTCTTATTAATGTAAACGAAAGCGCAATATTTCGATTAATCATTAACAACTATATTTTAGCCACAAAAAAATCATTCGCTTGGAAGAGGCGATATAATTCAGCCTTAGTTTCTAATTTTTTAATCAACTTATAAACTAATCAGTATTAAATGAATGACAAGCCACTTCATAAATAACAAAAGTATTACATCGTCTATAGTAACAAGTGGAGATTCTATGTTATATTTTGTGCATAAAAAATTTCCCAATGTTTATGCAGATTTAGTAAAAGAGCAACTCTTACAACTTGATGCTTCACATGGAGTGCCTCTTCAACATTCGTTGCTATTGTTTGTAATGCGCGATTTCTTGATTCGAGATCCAGTAACCTTGAGTCACAGGCCATTTGAACAAGCGATTGAACGTGAATACCTACAACCGCTAATATTTTTGAAATCTTCCTCATATTCAGTGAAAATTATGAAAATTCAGATATATAATAATAAATAAGTGTCTACTTAATATATATGACAAATTTTGAAATAAGATGATTTATTATGTAAGATAGTAATAAGTATTAATATTAGTAAGAATTTTGGAATTCAACACAGTTGTTATCTACTTAAAAACATGAAAAAATAATATATTAAGTTGTACATTTCTATAATTTAAGTATAATTTAATATTTTGAATTAAACTGCACTTCGATCAATGAAAAATCATGTAATTTCAACGAAAAAAATTAAAATAAAAATTCTCAATATACAGCCAATTGTTATATAGTATGAATACCAGATACCAGACTGCCAACTGAGTAGCCTCCAAACGATTGTAGGTACATAAAATAGGAGTGCCTCCAGAGCAAGCACGAATGGCACCCACTGATAATAACCAATTTGTCGATTTTCTCTTTCAGCATAATTATGTGGAATATAATCATGCAAAGGAAGAAAATAAGTATTTTGCACCCAACAATAATTTTCCGTATATTGTTCCATAGGTTCCGTAAAAGTTGCGGGTACCCAGCATTGAATCGGAAATCCTTTAAAAAATTACTTAATTGTAAGCGAAATTCGTTTTTTTCATAATTTTTGATTTTCTGAGGCAAGCAAACGGACATCAAAAAAAAAAAATTTAGTAAAATGAATTGACATGGAAATAATAAAATTGAAGTGTAAGGAAATTTAAAAAGGAAATAAAAAGAAGGAAATTTATTTCTAGCAGATTTAACCAATTCATTATTAAATTTCAATTTGCCATTTTAAGTAATTTACAAGAAAAATTTGCAAGAAGAATTTCTTTGCCTTAATTTATCTTTTTTTGGTAAATTATTTGAAATGAAATTTTAAAATGTAGTTGTTAAATTGTTCATATGAAATGGCAGTATCTAAAATTTCAAGCGCAAGAACAAGCTTCGAGAAATTTCCAAAAAATTTCAGCAATACATTTTCTTCAGGGAATTGATATCTTTTTCTTACTTTTTCTGCAAAAAATGCTTGCTAAAATTTTTGGAATATCAACATTTTAGAATAAGCATTATCGATAACGGTCTCGTAATTTGCGAAAAATTTATTCCTAAATGCCTAATAAATTTGAGTCTCTAGAGAGTGTCCTTATAATCATAAAATTCCCAAATGATATTCATTTGACTTATTGACTTAAATTTGATTTATATGGAAATTCTGCGGTGCAAACGCTAAGAAATATTTATATGTTTATACATATATTCCATACTCCATATAATCTATCATTCCAGATGTTCAGTAGAAAACTCATTCATAAACAATCTGGTTTAAAAGTTCCATTCAAAATGATGATGTAGCCGCTGAATGGTATATCATTTCGACTAAGCGTAACTAACACTCTATGCTCAGTTCACGTTTACAGGATTAATCTATCATTCTACATATTGTTATAGTAATCTCACTGCATGATGCGTCTGTTCACCTGCATCTCAATCCACGAATGAACTTTGGAAAACCTGTTAACCTGGCAAATAAACCATAAATATAAAATATGAAATTGAGAAATAAAAAATCAAATGGTCTTCACATCAACGCTTTCATGAAATTAACTTTTTGTATTCCTGCATTTCTGGATTAAATCAATTTTTTAGTAAATCTCTTCTCAGCACCATTAACATTCTATAGGGTCGAAATTCCTTTTATTTCAATAAATGGTTCTTATTTTGTTTTAATTTTCTTTAACTCCGATATTAACCCATTTTTAAATATTCTTTGATTCGAAAAAATGAATTAAGAAATAGAAAAAAAACTTTGAGACGAAAAAACTTCGAATTTTAATTCGAAATGAGAACGAGAACATAATTGATCTTTGCGGCTGTTAAATCGATAAATAATAATCATAATAAGTTTAATTAAAAATAATAATTATAATTATAAATAAATAATTATATAATTATAAATAAATAATTATAATTATAAATAAATAAATTATAAATAATAAATAACTGAACAGATTTATTAAGTCAAACGACTGTTTTATTATTATTGAATAATAAGATGGGAAATACGCTCCATGAGAGAGAGCGAAATTCACCTTTTATCAAAAAGTTTTGTAATTCTAAAAATAATTTGATCTCTGTTGGAAAAAGATAAGCAAATACTTATAGAAGCCTTAAGAAAGTAGAAAAGTAGAAAAACTAACCAACATATTGCTTTGCAGAAACAAGAATCGCAAATACTGAAAAAAAAGAAACATTATTTCATGAAAAGAAAAAGGATAAGGATATTATAAGGATATTATTAAGGAGATTAACTGATTATTTCTAACATTTTCATGTAATTTTTTATTTACTAAAAATTATTTAACATTTTTCTCATCTCATTCATTGTAGCTTTGCTTAACACGGTCAATTATTATTGTCAATTTTAAAAAATAGCAAAAATAGGAATGAAAACATCATTCTAACGACTTAGAAGAACAGAACTCGAGAAAAACATAATAAAAGCGCAAAATTTGGATATAATTTGTTGCGATGTATATATTTGTTGCTGCGTGCTTATTCATCAAGTGTCATCAAATTAAAAATTTAATATATATTAAATAATTACTAGTGCCGTTGTTAGAAAAAATTTAAGCTTTCTTTATTGATCGCTAGTAATTAAGTGGAATGAAGAATGAAAAGATTTTTATGAGAGACTTTATCTTCCTTGAGAAAAATTTTCGAAATATTTGTGAGAAAACAACGAAAATCTAAAATTTATTAAAGTTCTGTGAATTTATTTGCAAAAAAAATTCAGCCATTTTTGGCTTCAATTTGAGTTCCATTATAAAATTTTTATTTACAAATTCAGCAATCATAATAATTTAGTTTTAGAAAAAAATCCCATTAATATTATTTTTGATTCAATATGCAAATAAAATAAATTCAATTTTTTTTTCGTCTATATAGATTTTCTTGAACGAAAAATATCTAAAAAAGAGATTATATTTATATTGTCTTCAACATGAACGCATTTCCTGCTGACATGCAGTCACATTCACCTACACATGCATACATACATATTTATCGTGTGATTTTCTTTCATATTCATTGAATTCATTATGTTCATATCATTGATCATATTCAACTGAAAAACTCAAGAAAAATATGATTTCTTCCAAATTTTGGAATGAGTTTTATAACACCAATCTGTTTAAATTTATTTTATTTTAATTCCACAGTCCTCTGGGAGTGGTCATGATCATATCAGAGACCTGAGAGATAGGGGGTTCTGCGCAGTATCCCATTAGTGCGCTCTTCGAAGTAATGATTTCTGATGTTGTTCTGCTGAGGCCACTTTTTTAGAGGTCACAGTTCCAAGTGTTTCGATTGTCACTGGAATTTCTCTGGCTTTTCTGCATCTTCTTTAGTTCCTCTTTCAGCTTTTCCTTAGTATTTCTCTAGCTTCTCATATTCTTTCTTCCTGACGCTCCCGTCGCTTGGTTCTGCTATATTAATGACCACTCCGATTCTTCTGATATCTGTTTGATTGGTCAACCAGATAATTGTCTTACTACATATTGTCTTACACTTGTTTGTCTGTTTGAATGGAGAAGTCCTACTCTTCACCTTATTATCCTTTACGAATTTCTAAGAAAATTCCTATTTAGTCTTGGGAGGATCTAAGCCATATAATATAATAATTCATACAAAATAAATTTATACATATACATATATATATATATATATACATTTATTATGTATATGTTGCAAATTTCCATCCCAAGTCCAATAGCCAAAAGCTGAAAAGAAGACGGGTGGAGCTTGAATGAGATGAATGCCATTATCTCGAAAAACTCGAAGCAAACATTCTCAAACATTCTCTCATTCAAATATTTTAACAATATGGCACTAAAGGATGAACTGCCGAAGCGATGAGCGAATGTTTGAAGCATCTTTAGACACTGGAAAACGATCAAGTGGAGGAAAACCACGGTTAAGCAAAGATCTCCATGGATTGTATCATCGACATATAGTTGAGATAGAATGGTTGGCGCTGTGAAATCCTATCAGTAATTGGAGAAAGCCAGATTAAAAGTACGTTGATTTTAACAGTAAGCATTAAGCACCAGATCCATCGAAAGAAGGATACACCACACTAGACAGCTCCCTAGATGCATACTGTCCTAAAACGCTTCAGGAACAGTCCAACATCTAATGGTAGGATGTAAAATGCAAGCAGGAAAAATACGCTGAAAGGCATAACCAAATAGTTGGCACCATATATAGGAATATATGTCCCTCAAGGCTAAGTGAGAGATTCCTCAGAAAATCAAGACACTAAGGCGAGTAAGGCGAAGATCCTGTGGGACTTCTCCATCTAAAAAGACAAATAAGTACTGGCCAATCAACCAGATATCGTGGCAAGAATCAGAAATCAATATTCTCGCCAGAAATCATTACTGGCCATTGATATAGCAATACCAAGCGACAGGTACGACAGGAAGAAGGAATATGAAAGAAAAAAAAGTTAGAGAAATACGAAGGGCTGAAAGAAGAACTGGAGAAGGTGTGGAAAGATAAAGCAATTTCAATGACAACTGAAGTACTTGGGACTGCGACCCCTAAAAAAGTGGTTTCAATCATTTCAGGAACAACACAGAGATCTCTAACCAGAAGAGCATATTATTAGGAACTAGCTAAGATGCTCGTAAAACCCTCAATCTCTTAGGCATTTAGTAGAGGATCCGAGATTGGGTATGATCATGACCACATAGAAGAAAAAAAAATTTATATAAATAAAATATAATTATTGGAAATTTCTACCAGTTGTTAATGAAATACTTAAGAAACGAATTTTCTAGACTGAAATAATCGTGAACTTTATTTAAAAAAATTTTTGCGACATCTATAGCAGATCTTATTTAATTGTTAATAAAATTACGTGAAATCTGGTCGATTATAATTTCTAGCATCGTAGCTCGACTTCTACCATTGGCAGCCAGTGGAGCAAGATTAACCAGAAATGTTTAGTGCTAACTACTTATTTACTTTATGGTAAATAAAGAATTGTTGAGACTTTTTTAAAAATTAAAAAAAATTAAATTCGACTCTAAAACGATAACATGTTTTTATGATTTTTATTAAATATACGAATCATTGGAAATTTTCAAAAAGCAATAATTGAAAAGGTTCTTTATAATATTAATTTGGGAATTAAAAGTTAGAATTTATTAAAAGAAATAGAATTAATAGTGTCCACATCCTCCATTAAATACTACTCAAAGCAGCAATAATGACACATTTAGGAGTCTATTCTATCTTCTTAATATTCAAGCAAGCAAGAAAAAATGTGAATAAAAATCTCTTTTTATAAAACTTTTTTTTCACTTTTTTGCAAGTATTTCGTGTTACACGCTTCCACGTTTTTTTTCGACTACCCGAAATGATTTTAAAGAAATCGATATTTCAATAATTTTATTCCTTTCCGATTTCTAGAAATTTTTTCTAGAAATTTTCGGAAACGCGAAATTCGAAGATCGTTTGATTGAA